AGATGGAATAGTAACTTTTTTGGATGTTGTAAAGAATGTGCTTGGAGAGGGGGTCTTAGCAGGATTTGATGGGTTGGAAGCTAAGACTTTTTGAGTTCCTTCTATAGAGTCACTCACCATATGCCCGGCTTTCACAGCTGTGCAAGAGACCAGAGTCTGCTCTGTACGTTGAGTCTGACCGTCATTAATTGGTTCTTCTACATAATTAATTTTTTTTTAAAAGCATAACTTTATTTATTATTTTTAATAATAGTTAAAAGATTTAATAATAACTACTATTTTATTACCTCGCACCCAGTATGACCATTCCTGCAAAGCTGCCTGTGATTTTGCTTCTTCTTCCAGGCTAACAATTATAGTATGCAAGATCAAATAAGACGTATTCTCTCTGGGCTTCTGTAGAAGGAGTTCTTGTTGTATTAAACCTTTTACCACCAAGTTATACAAAATAATTTGAGCCATGAACTGTGTATTTAGCTTTGATTTCTTATTTTTTTTGTTCTTATTATAATATTCTAATTGATCATATCCTTTATCTCATACCCTAATAGTATTTACACAATTAAAAACAGAAACAACATCTTCAGGAATTATTTGATGCTCAAATTGGGTTGTAAGTGTCTCCACTATGTTTAACATTTCTAATACTTTAGTTGATGCATCGACAAGTCTCACATTTTCCTTATTTCGCATATAACAATTATCACAGAGATTACAGGGCTTTAATGTGGAGTTCAAATTCTACTTATTATAATTCCATGGTGCTTGTACTCAACAATCATATTTGGTTTCGCAAAAAAATACTATCTCAAACAATTTTTTTTGTTCCTGTTGCAGATATCATTGATATATGTATGCCTCAGGATTATTTTCCTCAGTAATGCTAAATGTAAGTATGAAAACTAGCATTAAACTTAGTTATGACTTTATTATATATTAACATTACTTACCTTTCTTTATTCTTTGCAATTATATAGTAATTAGTTCGTAAATTATCTAATGTAAAAAAAATAACTATTTTAGCAGGAAGACTATCTCGTCCAGTATGTCCAGATTGTTAAATTAAATTTGCTAAATTGAGTTTAAGTATTAATTTTTTTTTTCAATTACAAAAGTAATATGTACATATACTCATTGAAAATGTGTAATGAATTACTAAGCATACATTAGGTGTATTAATTCCCATACCAAACACCATTGTTGCAATTATTATTCATGTAGTTCCATGATTCCATTTTTCTAATACTCAATCCTTATATTCAGAAGCTATTTTTCTGAAAAATATATCCATACTTTCATTTTCCAATCTTTTTCACAATTCCTCTAGCACTTCTTGATATTCCTCTCGATGCACACAATAAATTATTACTCTGCCCTCTTGGATTCTGGTAATTAATAGTTTAATTTCATCAAAAACTTTACCATTTCTTTCATATTTTTTCTTAACCTTATAAATTAACTCATTTCTCACTTGATTGTTGGCATAAATATAGGTAAAATTGTTTTCTGGTATATGTAAGTTTTCTCTTATTAGATTCATTTCCTCAAAAGTACAAGTAGCTGTAAGCATCATAATAGATGCCTCGGAGTAAGAATCTTTTAAATAAAATAGTTGTTGATATGACTTTCTAAATTTATAAACAAATTTTAACACCTTTTATAATATGCTTATTAGGTATGCAAATATTTTATATAAATATTGATTTTATCATACCTAAAATTTGCATAATCTAATACACAATGTACTTCATCGATTGCAAATTGCACTTTTTGATCTTGATACAGACAAGTTAAAAATACTTGAAAAGATTTGTTTAATATTAACTTCTCTGGTGTTACAAATAAAATTTTTGTAAAACCCATTGCAATTTCATGAAATATTTTTTCTTCATGATTCAAAGTTCCTACAAATGAAATATAAAGTCCTCCGCAAGGTATTCCAGCTTGCACAAGATTAGTCTAAATGTTGATTTTAATTTAAATTTAGTAAATATTCTAATGTAAATAAGGTTTTACTAAAATAAGCTTACAATTTGATTTTGAATTAATGCAGTTAATGGACTTATAACTACTGTTAGTCCTTCAAAAAAAATAGCTGGTATTGTGTAACAAAGGGTTTTACCTCCAACCATTTTCATCACAACGAATGTATCCTTTTTATCTTGCACATAATTTAATATAGCTTGCTTTTGTTCATCACATATAACAAATTCAAACATTTTTTTTGTAATTATTTCGATTTTTTGTTCTAGGGTCAAGTAAGAAACTTCTAATTCCTCTATACAATTATTTAGAAGATATTTATTTAAACCTAGCTCAATATACGCAGAGCACAAACCACAAAATCCTTGAGCTAATTTTTTTTTGAATACATTGCAACCACGGCACTAAACTATAGCTTCAAAATCCGAAATTAGTAAAACAAATGAAGGATAAAAGATATTTGATCTTAACTGTTCTTTTCCTTTATATTTGAATAGTATCAATTCCTATTTTTTTTTTTTTTTTTGGTATGTTAGTAAATTTACAAATTTGTAGTTTTTTAATAATACCTGAGAAAAGTAAAATCCAATTAATTCTTTTTTTTCGAGTTCATACTGCTTTGCATGATTTTGATTTCTTTCATGGATTGTTTTAACATTTCTTAATTGTTGTTGCTCACGTTCTAATTTAAATTGACTAATATTTTTTATATCTTCTTCACTATAAGGTACTGTTCCATAAAGCTCTCATAATGAAGACAAAATATATAAATATCCTTCATTATTATGTAGAATAGCAAGTGCATGTCTAGAACAATATGAGCTCCAATAATCAATCTTTTTGTCAAGGTAAACCAATTTTACACGGTTAAATGATTCGTTTGCTGAGGTTCTGTATATAGTTACTAAGCCTTGTCCAATTGGTAAATGAAAGATCGATTGAAGTATTTGGCAAAATTTTATAATTTCTAAATTAGTAAAATTTTCAAGAGTAGGTTCTCGCAAGGTAATTGAAGAATCTTCTTTTATCCAACAGAATTCATTCCAACAAAGGCTATGATCATTACATAAATGTTTAATAAGCCCTTCAATTTGTACCTTTCTTAATTCTTCTTCTGTAGGGGTTAATTTTGAGGAATTTTCTCTTTGCAAACCAGCAGAATAAACGCATCTATTAAAATATTGCATTATATGTTGTTCAAACCTGTGATATTGCTTATATTGCGGTTTAGCTAAATATTTTTAAATTATATTTAATTAATAATTTAAATACTGTATATTAAGATTTTTACCTAGTATTCCTATGAACCGAACTGAAACCGAACTTTGATCAAGTTCAGGTTCAGGTTCAGTTCAATCATGTTCAATATTGAACCTTCAAGTAAGGTTCATGTTCAGTTCAGTTCAGTATTGAACTTTTAAGTCAAGTTCATGTTCAGTTCAGGTTCAGTTCAAA